ACCAATCATGACATCCTTCTCCAAGGAATGGTCCCTTCCAACAACATGACCAAAGTAGGTGAGAGGAAGTCTGGCCATTCTTGCCTCCAAGGAGCGTTCTGGCTGCACTTCCTCCAGGACAGACCTGTTAGTTCTTTTAGTGATCCATGGTACTTTCAGTATTCTTCACCAACACCACAGCTCAAAAGCATCAACTCTTCTTTTGTCTTCCTTATTCATTGTCCAGCTCTCACATGCATATGAGGTGATTGAAAATATCATGGCTTGTGTCAGGTGCACCTTAGTCCTCAAGGAGACATCTTTGCTCTTCAGCACTTGAAAGAGGTCCTTCGCAGTCGACTTCCCTCAAACCCACCAGCCACTCCTCAAAAGGAAGGTTGGGCAATCTACTTCCATAGTGATACTGCCTCAGAAACCCAAGGAGGAGTCACTATGAGTCGGGTCTGACTCGACGGCACATAACAACAATAGTAACAGACATCCTCTGATGTCCTGCCTGCGGCTACCATTGACATTGATTGTAGAACCAAGCAATATGAAGTCTTTGACAGTTTCAAACTTTTCTCCATTCATCGTAATGCTGCTTATAGATCCAGTTGTGAGGATTTTTGTTATCTTTATATTGAGATGTAATACATACTGCAGACTGTATTCTCCAACCTCCATCAGGACTTCAAGTCATCCTCACTTTCACAAGCAAAGTTGTGTCATCAGCAGATCGCAGGTTGTTAATCATTCTTCCTCCAATCTTGATGCCACGTTCTTCTTCACATACAGTCCAGCTTCTTGGATTATTTGTTCAGCATACAGATTGAATAAGTATGGTGAAAGGATACAATCCTGACGCACTCCCTTCTTGATTTTAAACCATGCAGTGTTCCCTTTTTCTGCTTGAACGACAGCCTCTTGGTCTATGTACAGGTTCCTTATGAGTGCAATTAAGTGTTCTTGAATTTCCATTCTTCTCAACGTTATCCACAATTTGTTATGATCCACACAGTCAAATGCTTCTGCATTGTCAATAAAACACAAGTAAACATCTTTCTAGTATTCTTTACTTTGAGCCAAGACCCATTTGACATCAGCAATGATATTCCTTGTTCCATGTCCTCTTCTGAATCCAGCCTGTACCTTTGGAAGTTCTCTGTCAATACACTGCTGCAACCGTTTTTGAATTATTTTCAGTAAGATTTTACTTGCATGCAATATTAATGATATTGTTCCATAATTTCCACACTTTAGGCAATGGAAAACAGACAAATCACACAAGAATCGGGCCCTGTGGAGCTTAGGGTTTCCTTCCGTTGGATCTATTCACCTTTTCGCTATTAGTGCTGGCCCTTCCAAGGTCTACTCAGTTGGCTGCAGATAGCTCCTCCCTGCCCATCAGGATCCCCAAATGCTCTAACTGAGAACAAGGAAGATTCCCCTACCGACACTGCCCTCCCTTCCCGCTAAAACTTTTCAAGGTCCAAACAGAACAGCCGGCCCAACCCTGGAGCAAAACGGAGGCGGACTAGGTGGAATCAACAGCTGGTCCTGGCCCCACCTGCGATCAGGATCTCTAGAAACAACCAAATGGCAGAGAGAAGAGAAGGTAAGTGTTCGCAACAGCAGGGATGGGGTAAGGTAGGTTCCAGAAAGGGAAGTGGACATGGGCTGGGTGGGGGCGATAAGCACTCCTTTTTTGAGCAGGTGAAAGGTCCAATACTATTCCAAGTCGCGGGCTGCCCACCTACCCTCAGCCTGGCACACTACTGCTCCCTACACACACTCTCCTTGGCACCGAGAGGACGGACGGAGGGGAAGAGCGAGGGCCTTAGCAGGTTCACAGGAGAGTCACGCTCAACGGCCCCTGTGCCTTGATCAAACTCCCCAGAGGCAGAAATGTACCTGTTTGGACGCTCAACCCAAGAAAAAACGATTCCTAAAACCCTCTGAACAGGTGCTACAAGGAAGTTTGTGGTTCATTCCTATCAGGCTCTCTTTATGGAGGAGGAAACCAAGGCGAAGAAGGGCGAAATGACAGAGCCAAGGGGCTTCCCACACCAGCGGGATGATCCTGGATCAGCTAGGCTGGGGGCGCTGTAAGCTAAGTTTGGGAGAGAACTGCAAGAGGGGGAGGAGACAGGGATGGGAAAGTGCTGCAGGACTGGGTGGGAGTACGACCACTGAGCTGCAAACCACTGACAGGGGAGGGAAGAGGCAGGGAGAACTGCTAGCTGAGGCTGATGAGAGGGGTTGCTGCCGGTTAAGATGAATATTGCTGCAAACGCGGGAGGAAGGTGTTGCTGCAGGCCGGGGCAAAGGAGCTGCAATCTATGGGAGGTGGTGGGGAGAAGTGTGGTGGCAGCTGGGTGGCTCAGGCCTGAGCAGCAGCTCGCTTGATTGGTCTCTAAGATGAAACTGGATGTTGGCAGGACACCTTGGCTCTGAAGAGTCTCTCAACTGACACTTAGTCTCTTGGGCGACCCTGAGCCCTTACCTCAACTCTCCGGGATATCTCACCTATAAGATAGGTGTGTGTCTTCCAGCGCCGCCTATCTCACGGAGTTCACTTGAGGATACCATTCATTATGGATACCTCTTTCCCCGGTCGCTTTTTTGTTCCAGCCTACCCTCCCTCCCGGAGCTCTGGTAGCTTAGTGCCTAAGGCACTTGACTGCTACCAGAAGGCTGGCGGTTCAAACCACCAGCCACTCCTCGGAAGGAAGGTTGGGCAATCTACTTCTGTAGTGATAACGCCTCGAAAACCCAAAGAGTCGAATGAATCTGATGACTCCAGAGCAGTGAGTTTGGTTTGGTTTTGGTTTACCTTCCCTCCAGGTCCAGGGGTCGGTAAACTCCCAGGGCTAGGGTGGAGCTGCCGCCGCTCCAGTACCAAACACCTCCAATATGGCTCATCTCCCGACAACAAGCTATTTCCTGCCCTGCTCCCTACTCGCACCCACAATAACCGTCAGTTTAATCTCCAGACCTGATCATTCCCCAAACACAAAAATAAGAGTCCTCGATGGGTCTGTCATTTTGCCCACCCCATTCTGAATGCCTTTAAAACTCCTTAAACAGAGATAAGAGAGAATTGTGTATATTTTCTACACAAATGGTGGAAAAGTAATAAAATAAACAACAAAGGTGCGCTCCCACGTACTTGAGGCTCTGTCGCTATTTGCAACAAAGGCAGGAAAAAGGAGGAAACCTTGGCTTGGGAGGGGTACCGTTAGAAGTGCACCCTTCACGGGGGCCTGGAGTAGCGATTCCGCGTTGGCGCCAGGCCTACAGCGTTCTGGGGGCAGAGAAAGATCTCCCCTTCCGGACCTCTGAAACCATAGTCGCAAAGGGCAGTACTACAGGGACAATTCTAAAGCAGCATAACAAACAGCCGGAAACAGGTTTTGCTCTTGGTCCCGGCTGCCCACCGGAACACTCTTGCCTTCTGGTTCTTGTAGGCTGTCCGAACCAGGGTAAGTGCAGTCGGCTCCGCCGAGTTTGGAGGGTTCAGCCCGGGTACAGGACCAGGACCAGGCAGCACCTGGCACCTGGCTCCAGGCACTTGCAGTCCGCAAGCTGCTGCCCCACCGCCTAACCACCAGCGGGGGGGGGGGGAGGGTAAAGTAAAAGAAAAGAAAAAGTGAAAGTCGGAGGCAATTTACTTAGAATCAAGGTAATCCAGAAAAGCGCGAATTCAAGCTTAGTATTTTATTCATTTAAATAATAAAAAAGTTGTCCTTGAAGGGAAACCACAGAGACCGGGGACACCACGGAGTCTCTCTTAAGAAGTCCTTGCAGAGTGTGTCCTATTCCGTTTCTGCTGCTCATCAGCACTTGTCAGTGACACGGGAGAGGCTAGCTTTCCGGAAAAAGCTCCAAGTTTATTGCAGAGAAGGGGTGTACTTTAGGAAGGCCGCAGGCCTGAGCAGATTCCCTGCTCCCGCCTGGGTCCAGCCCTCAGAAGTATTCCCCTAGGGTAGCCTCCAATTCCTCCAAGCGGATCCCCGCCGCCAAGGTCTCCGGAAGTACAGCGCGCACAGACCCCTCTTGCCAGTCAGCGGCCGAAACACCTGAGCCGAAGGGCGTGGGGAGGGGCCACCCTCAAGCGCACACCCCCCGCCGCGCGCAACTTCCCCATTGGCCAGGGGAGGAGGCGGGCCCAGCAGACCCAAAACAAACAACCTGCTCGCAGCTACTGCGGTCTGGAGTCGGCGCGTGGCCTCGCCTGCCTGGAGCCCCGGCCCACCTAGGCAACCCATTTCCCCACCCACCCCTTTTCTGCTGGCGCCCAGGCTCCGCCTCCGCGGAGCCGCCGCGGGGTTATATTGGGCACAGCTGAAGGTGGAGGCGAGACTGAGCCGCGTGTAGCCCGCTCTGGAGATGCTGGCCGGGAGGCCGCGGGCGGGAAGGCCGCTGCCGACGCTTCGGCCTCGGGGACTCAGCTCCGCGGGTGCTCTAGGCTAAAGGCGTGGGGTCCCCTCCCCCGCCCCAGTGGTGCGCACACCACCCTCGCACCTTCTCCGAGCTCCCTGAGGAGGCCTGCGCAGGCCCTGGGACCTCCAGTGAAGACACCAACTCCGAGTCTCTTTGCCAGATAGCAGATGCGAACGTCTTCCCTCCAGCAAGCAATCCTTCTAAGCTCAGGACAGCTTGGGCACAGGGGTTGTGACCGCGCCCCTATACACATTCCCCTCAAATCTCTGATCCTCTAACTGAAGACAGCATCCACCCAACTCCTCCCTTTCCACCCCTCCTTGTCTAACCAACACGCACCACAGCCCCTGCAAAGGAAGATTCCGGCGGAAGAGGAATCTTCTACGGAAAAGTGACTGTCCCTGGCCGGTCGGAGGAGGGAGATCTCCAGGACAGAAGGACGCAACCCCCGGTCTGGGATCCACCCGCGCGCGGCACCAACCCTTAGGGCTGCTGAGAGGAGCAGGGTACGGCGCCGGTGGGCAGAGGGCGCGAGGGGAGGTGGCGTCGCAGCGGAGTGGGGGGACCACCCGAGGATGAAGTTGAAGGTGTCCGCCCCTAGCGCGGACAAGCCGGCCGGTGACATAGAAGGCACGGGCAGCAGCGACACGCCGTCCCCGCTGTCCGTGGGAGGCGATGACTCTCTGGGCTCAGACGGGGACTGTGCGGCCAACAGTCCAGAGGTAGACGGCGGCGCCAGGGAGCCCGCACGAGGCAGCCTGGGCAAAGAAGAGGAAGACCGGGTGGCGGCGGCGGAGGAGAGCGCAGGCGGCCAGGAGGCCGATGCGACGGGGCCTGGCCAGGGCGCGCGCGGCGAGAGCAGCCGCGGTAAGCCGTACACACGGCGGCCCAAGCCCCCATATTCGTACATTGCGCTCATCGCCATGGCCATCCGAGACTCTGCGGGCGGGCGTCTAACGCTAGCGGAGATCAACGAATACCTCATGGGCAAATTTCCTTTCTTCCGCGGCAGCTACACGGGTTGGCGCAACTCGGTGCGCCACAATCTCTCGCTCAACGACTGTTTCGTCAAAGTGCTGCGCGATCCCTCGCGGCCCTGGGGCAAGGACAACTATTGGATGCTCAACCCCAACAGCGAATACACCTTCGCCGACGGGGTCTTCCGCCGCCGCCGCAAGCGCCTCGGCCACAAGGCAGCCGCCACCACGGCCGTGCTGCGGCCCGAGGAGGACGCAGTCCAACCTACTGCAGCCGCAGCTGCCGCCGCTCCCGGAGGCGGCCCAAGCCCTTCCTCGCCCCCGCCGCGTCCGCCGGCCCGCCGGGATGACAGCGCGAGCCCTGCGGGCAAGTTCTCCAGCTCCTTCGCCATAGACAGCATCCTCAGCAAGCCCTTTCGTAGCCGCCGCGAGCGCGGCGCCGATGCCGAAGCGCGTCTGCTGTGGGGCGCCGGGGGCACACTCCCCGCCAGGCCCGCGCCCTGCCCCGCGCCCGGT